CATATGTTCTCTACAAGAGACAGATGGAAACAGTCCAAATGCCCATAGATAGAAGAATCTTTAAACAAATTTGGGTACATAAAATGAAATAGTAGGCAATACTGAAGAATAACAATAAATCTGCGAAACACCTCACAACAAATATGAACCTGGAAGACATTACACTGAGTACAATTAGTCAATCACAAAAGGACAAATATTGTATGAAACCAACGTTGTAACCAATGTTGTATGTATGAAGTTTTTTTTTTTTTAAGTTCTTGATTAAAAAAAAACAAAACTATGGTGGTTACAAGGGGATGGGGTGTGGGGAAAATTATTCACAGGCTAGAGGATACACATGTTAGGTAACAAGAATGACAGGGCATGAAGTATACAACAGGAGGGAGGTTAGCAGAGCAAAGAAGACAGTAGGAGGAGACACAGGAAGGAATGCAATAGATAAAGTGAATATAAATGTTGGTACATAGAGGGAATTGGAATCACTGCACTGAAAAGCAAAGTATATGATGTGCTGAACATAAATCTCATGATCTGTTCTGTAAACCTTCACTCAATTCACAACACAATGTTTTAAAAAATTACTTCTACTAGGGTTTCTTTTTTTTTTTTTTTTAAGTTTTTATTGTGAATTGAATGATAAGTTTGCATGGGAGAACTTCAGCTTCACATTCATCCTATCGTATTTCGTTTCATTGCAATGATTACAATCCCCTCCATGCATCTAATATTCAACAGGATTTGCTTCCATTCCCTCAGTTTTTTTTTTTTTTTAATGTACACCGAAGCACACAAAAATACATAACCAAACCACCGAAGGGGACACCCTGCAAGCCTGCCCCCCTGGCTGTCAACACACAGCCCCTCTCCCTCTCAGTCGAGTCTCCTGACACTCCATCTGTCCATGTCATTAGGGTCCTGTTTTATATATGAATTTATATCAAACAAAATATATTTAACCACGTGTCTCTGCAATCAATAGATGGCTGCAGACATTTCATCTTCAAGTTGCTGCTGTTGATACTAAGTACCAGTGCGGCAGTTCTAAGTCACCTTGACCCTGTACAGGTGTCTTAATAAAAAAATAAAAAAAAAATCTTATCCAACAGTGGCTTCTGAGGGTAGCTGTTGGGCCACTTAAATTCCAGGCAGAGTTAATGCTACTGTCTTTTGGAATTCCAAAGATGTAACAATTTTGAAATATCTTCTGAAAGGACAATCACAAGGGCTTTAAGAGAAAAAAGCCAAGAAATTTTTGATGAATTTTTTTTCTATCACAACAATGTACCTGCTCATTTTTCAATGGTAGTAAAATGCAACAAGAATTCTGTGGTGAAACCTTACACCATATACTCTCCAGTCCTTTGTCTCTTCAGACTTCTTTTTGTTGCCCAAACTTAAAAGAATATTCAAAAGAAATATGATTTGAACGCACTGAGCATACCAAAACTAGTATTTTGACATGGTATAAATAGAAGAGAAGAGAATTCTTCACGATAGGGCTAGAAATATGGAAACACCACTTTCAGAGCTAGAAGGGTATCTCATTGAACAGGGCCTTCAACATTTTAGTATTTTTGTTGAATAAAGTTTTCTATGATTTTTGTAGGACTACATTTTGACTTAACCTTGTTTGTTTATATGAGGAAACTCCAAAAACCTCATGGTATAATGGAATTAAAATATAATTAATTTCAGCAAAAGCAACTGAAGACATAGATAGATAGAGCAGCTGAAGACTGTATGTAGCCTAATGGAAAGAGAAAGGGTCTGTGCTGGCGGCCGGGAGGCAGTCTTGCAGAGGAATGTGTCCTTTGTTTGTTTAAATGTTTATATATTCCTGAGTGTTTTTGTGCACATACAGAAAAAAGAGGGACTAGAAACAAATACTGTTGAATGATAATGCATGGAGGGGATTGCAATTATTGCAATGAAATGAAATACGATGAGTGTAAATCCAATGTTCGCCCATGTAAACTATCAATCCGTTCACAAAAAAAAAAAAAAGCTTTTTGAAGTCCCTTTGTATACTGTACAATCATATGCTTGCCAGGCCAATCACTCTACATACAACAGACATGAAATTACACACGTACATAAAGCTGTTCCGTCTGCCAGGACATATTCACTATATCCATTCTCTGATTATAACCTATATACCCTGGTATCACACTGTAGGATCAACTCTGGACTGCAAACCACAATGTCAACAGTTCAAACCTACTAACTGCTACTCAGAAGCCCTATACAGTGTTGCTGAGTCAGAAATGACTCAACAGCAGTCTTCAAAAAACAAATTGAAACTTTATGTAATGAGAGGTATGTACTGTAGTCGAACACTTGGGAGGGAGGCTGTGGTACTGTGGCTTTACCAGAATCCAGTGGGCATCAAAGTACCATTCATTCTGTCTCCTAGAACCTTCTCCTCTCCTTGTGAGGTGGTAGAAGCCACCCCGTAAGCCCCAACAGTTCCTGTTCCTCTTAGAATCTTCGCCAAATGGAAAGCTTTCCTTAGGGGCCTGAACCCAGTGGGGGAGGCAGGTGCTCAGGCTTGGGAAGAACCTGTCTGTATGTATGATGTGAGGTTTGTGCACGTGCAAATGCCTTTTTTCTTTTTGCCATGGGGACAGTTGAATTCAGGGCATTTTTCTACAAGAAACAGTCACCCTTCTCTCTTTCAATACGCACTGGCTGCAATCCTACGCCCATCAAAGACACTTCCAGCACAGAGTGAAGCTTACCAAGATAGCTGGTGTGGCCTGAGGGTGGTCGAGGTAGGAAGTAGGCATGACAGTATACACCTCCCACATTTAGGCTGAACCCCAGGTGGGGCTGCCAGGGCTCATAATACAAGGTGATACCCCCACCCACCCTGCCTGGCCAGCCTTTCCTTTGTTTCCTTGGGTGAATGCAGGGGCAGCCACCTACACAGTGGTGTAGCAGGTGAGCAGGGGTAGCTGTTTATGGTGTGACGTGTGGTGCCTGGGAGGAAATGAAGATGAGGAGGTTTTTCCTTACTGTATAATGAATATCTATCTGTATGACTAAATTAACACATTTAAAAAAATAATAATGTAATTTTTGCAAAAGTGTTTCAAAGTCCCTTCATATATTGTTCCATCATATATGCTTGGCATGCCACTCACTTTGTATACAAGAGACATGAAACACATTGTGTACAAAAAGCTGCTGTGTCCACCAAGATATATTTGCTATTATCTATTCTCTGGTTTTGGCCTATATATCCTGGTGTGGCAATGGAGGATCAACACTGGACAACAAACCACAATGTCAGGAGTTCAAACACACCAGGTGGTCCGCTATAGGAGAACCCTATACAGGGTCGCTGTGAGTCAGAACCGACTGACAGCACAACAATTATAACCTTATGCGAACACTGCCAGATATGGAACATTACCTAACACAAGACTACATAATCCATTAAAGAAGCACAATGTTATAGGTAAAAATGATTACTAATTTAGCTACAAAATGATCAGCGGTCTCCAAATTTGCATCACATAAAACAATGACTTTGTTTTTGTTGTTAAGTGCCATCGAGTCGGTTCCGACCCATAGAGACCTTGTACAGGGTTTCCGAGGAGCAGCTGGTGAGCTTGAATTGCCGACCTTGCAGTTCAAATAGCTTTACAGTCTGGCGCATTAACCCACAGCGCCACACCCTGACTCCAAAACAGTGATTAGCAGCTTAGTTAAGAATTCACATCAGGATGAGAGGAAGACTCATTAATAGTCTGTAATATGCAAAGGATGCAACTGTGCTTGCTAAAAGCTAAGAGGATTTGAAGCAATTACTGATGAAGATCAAAGACAATAGTCTTCAGAATGGATCACACCTCAACATAAAGAAACCAAAAATCCTCACAACTGCATCATGACAACCAGAGAAAAAACTGAAGTTGTCAAGGATTTCCATTTACTTGTATTTACAATCAACTACCTACCATGGAAGCAGTAGTGAAGAAATCAAATGATGTTACTGACTTGGGAAAATCTGCTGCAAGACTTCTTTACAGAGTTGAAAATCAAAGATGTCACTTTGAGGACTAAGGTGTACCTTAAATAAGTATTTTACTTGCTTCATTTTGATGCAAATGAAAAAGGAAGACCTCAGAGTTGATTTCTTTGGATTACGGTGTTGGGAAAGATTAATGACTATACCACAGACTGTAAGAAGAACAAACAAGTCTGTCCAGGAGGGAGCATAGCCAAAACATTACTTGGAAGCAAGAATGGCAAGACTTCATCTCATGCACTTTGGACATGTTATCAGGAAGAACCAGGTCCCAGAGAAGGATATTATGCTTGGTAAAGACTATGTTCAAAAAAAAAATCCTTAATGAACTGATTGACAGGGTGGCTGCAACAATGGACTCAATTGTGAGGATGGTGCAGGACCAGGCCAGGCAATGTTTCATGTTGTTGTAAAAAGGGTCAATGGGTTAAAACCAATTGAACAGCACTAAGGAGCTCTGGTAGTGTAGTGGTTACGAATCGGGCTGCGAACCTTAAGGTCAGCGGTTCGAAACTACCAGCAGCTCCGCGGGAGAAAGATGAGGCTTTCTACTCCCGTAAAGATTTACACCCTCGGAAACCCTGTACAGGGTCGCTATGAGTCGGAACCGACTTGACAGCACTTAACAACAACAACAACAAACAAAAACAACAGAAGTTTAACAAGAGAAATTGTACATACATATGTACTCTTTCACATTTAGGTAGATTTCATTGGGATTTAAAAAACACATTTTTAAACTGTAATTAAATTTAGAAAATAAATTTTGTGTTACACTGAGTTTTCACAATTACCAAATAACAAAAGTATTATCAAAAGATTAAGAATAAGATATAGAAATCTATTCATATATAAAAGCTAGGAATCATAGACATAAAAAATAAAACTTAACCATACCATGGCATTGTTAAGAATGGATAAATAATGACTAGGAGTATAAGGCATGTGTAAATAGAATACATACCATTTTTGGGAAGTACCACTTCCTCTATGTTGGGAACAGGTGTTGGGTCTTCCATGTCCTTGGTAAGATCTTCTTGCTCTTCTTCCTCTTTCTGACTTCTACGCTTCCCATAAAGACTAGCTTGGCTAAAACATACAAGATATATATAAAACATAAACTAGATTGATTATAGTAAACTTTCTCCTCTAAAACAATTTTCAATTTAATCCTATCCATGTCAATTTAAGTGACATCAATTGCACTAATATCTGCTGCAAAGTTCCATCATCATAATCAGAAACTCAATTATTTACGAAACAATGACACACATCCCCTGTCACCAGTAAGCACCATTAACAATGGTTTCAGTATGTTTGTCTATTCTAGTCCCTGAGAGGCAGAACAGTTTGTGATTGGCTACTAATATAAAGGTTGGCGATTTGAACCCATGAAGGAGGACTTGAGAACTGCTTCTGTAAAATTCTATGGAGCAGTTCTATGTTCTACACAAAACACAAGGAGTCACCATGAGTCAGAATCTACTCAACAGTGCCTGTTTCACTAGATTATGCTATTCTGAGCAAACCATTAACCTTCATTATTTTAAAAATCCTATATTCAGAATTATTTTTAAAATACAAAAATAAATCAAATTACATATTTTCCAATTACATCTACCCAGTAAAAAAAAAAAAAGAAGAAAATGTTTCTGGGTATAAGAAAAGGACACAGAACTCACACTATTCAAACAGTATCCAAAAAATGGTTTTATTAATGATCTTCACCATAAGTATTTTAAGCAATAAAAGGATATGTGCTAAGATAATATGAAGGGGTTTCATAGAGTTCAAAGAAAACTTCCTTATCTATTTCATTTTACAATGAACTTTTTGAAGCCCCTGGTATGGCACATTCTCCTTACTTTCTTTCAACTCAGAAAGTAGAATCACCAAATAACTACTTAAGACATTTTCTCTAAGATACACACAACAACTGCATTTTTCTGACTCTTTATAACAACCAAACATCAAGAATTACAAGTACAGAATTACTTGTTGTTGTTATTAAGTGCCATGGAGTCTGTCCCAACTGACAATAACCCTATATAGGGTTTCCACAGAGAACCTGGTGGGTTTGAAGCACCAACCTTGTGCTCTAGAGTCCAGTGCTGATCCTACAACGCCACACCAGGAGTACTGGTGTAAAATCACTTACTATAGTACTAATGCTTTCTTTCATAAAAACTTTCACATTACCCTTTCACTAAAAACTCTTATCAAACCAATATTGGTTTTTAAAACTATGACATGCCACAATTAATATTAGGCTTCACTGATACTTTCTGGTGAGGAATTACAAAAGACACAAGAACATAAAGCACTGAATTGAAGATAAATTTTTAATTACCTTTAAAAACTGAGAAACCACTAAGAATGAAGCAACATTTCAGGAGAAAAAGTTAAAGCATAAAGACATTAGTTTTAAGAACAAAACATTTGTTTTGGTAAGGATTGAGCAATAAATCGAGTGCATTTACAAATCAGAGTGGAGATGGAGAGAGTTGGCTGAAGCTATGTACTGTGACCATGCTGGATATCCTCACACTACAAAATATGTTCAAAGTTCCCCTCTAACTTTGCATTATTCTGATATAGATTGGTGGTGGTAGTTATGTGCCATGGAGTCGGTTCCAACTCATAGCGACCCTGTACAGGGTTTGGTGGTGGTGGTTATGTGCCATGGAGTCGGTTCCGACTCATAGAGACTGTGTACAGTGTTTCCGAGGCTGTAAATCTTTACAGGAGCAGAAAATTTCATCTTTCTCTCACAGAACAGCTGGTAGTTTCAAACTCCTGACCTTGCAGTTCGCAGCCCGATTCATAACCACTACACTACCAGAGCTCCTTTAGGATGACAGATATAACTTTTTTTTTTTAATGTTTATTGTGAATTATGTGATCATTTACATGGGAGAACATTAGCTTTATGTTCATCCTATTGTATATCGTTATATTGCCATGGTTACAATCCCCTGCATGCATCATCAACCTACCAAAAGAGAAACCCTGCAAACCTGCCCACTGGTCATCAGCACACAGCCCCTCTCCCTCTCTGGGTCTAGTCCTGGGCCGCTCCACCTCTCCATGTCATCGTCTCTGCCTCCATCTTTAGCATCACCATTTCTCTGGGTAGGGTCTCGCTCTCTGCACTTCTCCCTTGATGGTCCCAGGAACCTCCGTTCCTAGACTGCAAAGTCAGTCACTCCCTTCCTTTTGCTACAAAACGACTACCTTTACATTTCCCACCCTCACACTCAGTCCTGATAACAATTATTCACCATTGTACCACAAGTGACCTATCCCCATCTCCTTTCATTAACCCCACCCAGACAGTTTGGATACTACTCAGTGGAGATTCTACCTTCCTCCGTGCCCTCTGAATCTAGGCTCCCTCTTGAAAGCTTGTAAGCCAGTCACTTCTTGCCTTTGTAGCTCCCCCCATTTTGGGTAGCCAATGTCCAAGTTGCCACTCCTCTCAACTCTGTGTATGGAGGGAGTGGGAATGATCCTCGCTGTAAAGATGTGTTCCCTCTTTTGAGCTATTGCATCCATAGGTGTAAGTCAAGTTCATCAAGTTTCATCAGATTACTCTTTTTTTCCCTCTTCTTTCCTCTTCTAATTGAGCTCTGATCATCCAGTCAATGAAACCACATCGAGTGGGTATTATCTCAAGTGTGGGTGTTCTTATGCATATGCCCTCTCTTCTTATCAGCTGGACGCTTCAATCTTTTTTTTTTTAAATAAAAATTACATGCCAATTTACAAACAGTCTATAACTCTAAGAGGGGTAGGGTGTGTGTGTAAAATGTTTTGATAAAGAAAAGCTTATAAGGAAGATGAGTAAAATAACCTTTAGGAAAACAGATTTCAGCATGCTCAAGTTAAATATAGGATTCTAAGGGGAAACTCAAAATGACCAAAAGCATAGTTATTACAAAGAAAACATTCAATTAAAGGAAATGCCCATAATTATTTTGGAAAACCCAATTCATGGGTTTTATATTATCGTGGGTCTCATGAACATCACAAGATGATTCAACAGACACTAGGTTCCTGGTATCCCTTCCCAGTTCCTAAATGGAATAGCAGAACATCTGAATTCAGGCCCAAAAGGATTTTCCAAAGAAGCTAGCTATGCCTTTCCTCAAAAGGATCTCTAGTACTTCTGTTATCTCTTAATTTCAATAGCAAGATTCATGTAAAAATTTTAAGAAATAAAGCGATCCCTCATATCTTAAAGGGAATTAATTCTGAGCCTTTAATTTTTATGCTTATGACATATACTTAGGTCTTTCACATAGAATCATTTTAATAACTATGACTGTCTCAGTATATTATATATAAAACAAAGAGGTTCTGTAACTTTCCTAAAGTTATCAAGCTAAAAAATGTTTCTAGTAAGTATGTTTTAGGGAAGAACATGATTCAATATTTATATTTAGGACAGACATGACAGTTCAGTTAAAGAAAAATATGCATCTATGGAAGCAACAGAAGACAAGATATCAAGAAGATCACTATAGTCCAGCCTACAGAAGCCAAGTCAACAAATTTACTATGAAAACAATATATTTCATAACCTGGCATTATGTAATAAATATTTTGAGTTGTTGTTAGATGCCACTGACTAGGCTCTAATACACAGTGACCTTATGATCAATACAACAAAACACTCTCCAGTCTAGTGAAATGCTCACAATTGTCGTTAAGCTTCAGCTCAATGTTGCTGCCACTAAGTCAGTCTATCTAGCTGGGGGTCTTCCTCTTTTTCACTGACCCTCCACTTTACCTAGCATGATGTACTTCTCTAGGGACTTATCCCCAATAACATGTTCAAAGTATGACAGAGTTAAGGACCCTGACCCTGGTCAACAAAATGGCATTGAAGCTGCCCCCAAGTGCCACCGAATAGAGTCCTGCTTAAGTTTCGGGTCTCCTGAAAGCTTAAGTCTTTATTGCACCAAGAGACCCTCCCACCAGGAAGTTTCAGGTTTCAGGAAAATCTCCATAACCCTGCCCACTGGAAGCACCCCGAGAACTGTACCCAGGACCACACTGCCTTACATATACCAGTCTGTAAGGGGCAGGAGGGCTCTTGGTCTCTAGACTTTTGAGTTCCCCCTCCCAGGTTTTCTCTAAGGAAGCTAAAGAATGCCTTCTCCAGCCCCCAGACATAAGACCTCGGCAGATCTTCCTTACATGTCTCAGGGGTCTGCCATGAGAACAATACAGGGGACGCTCTGGTTGTTCTTCTGGCCCTCCCTCCCATCTCTGGCCTTGATGTTTCTCTCCTCAGGACAACCTGTAGAGAAACATCCTGTGCCCTGGACACTCCCCTCTTGCCTCTCCCTTTAACTAAACACACAAAAGTATGGGAACCAATACCTCAAAAATAGAAAAGGAGACCCCGCGTTAGGGTGTTTCTTGTTCAATTTCAAAAAACTTCATTTACAATCTGAATTCAAACTGAAATGCCTTGTTACGCTTTGAAAATGGTACCTTCGATTATGGAATTCTCAGAGATCTAGAGAAGTTCCTCCAAAGGAATGGAAACTGGTCAGAGGTCCTCTAAATCCAAGCCTTTTTCTATCAACCACCACAACTCTCTTAAATGTCTATTTTTCTTATGTTTCAATTTCCCATTTCCACCAGTTAGCCCATCTAACATTCAAACCCTGGCAACACCTCACAAAAGCCCATACACCTCTTCAGCTAGCTCATTCTAAGCTCCACCTCTTCTCAAACCTTCATAAAAACCCTCAGCCTGTACTGGAGGATGCTTGGTCAGTAACCCCCTCCCAAGTTTGTATCTAAAAAACCTGTCCTTACTTTTTTTTTTTTTTAATTTTGTTTCATTTTGAGTGTAGTTGAGTAGCTTTTCACAACTTTATGAGCCACTTCATTTTACTTTTTGTAAAGTGTCTGTATCATATATCCATTTTACTTATTCATTGGTTGGTCTTGTCAAATTTTAGGAGTTTTTTTTTTTTTTTTT